TGCCCAGGCAGAGGGCATTAGGAGTATATATCCTAATACAGAGGATAGGGGTACAGAGAGGGTGCTGCAGGAAACCCTGCAGGCACCTCAATCCATCCCAGACGTGTACATCTGCATGTCGTGTTGTATCTTTCTGGTATAAAGCTGAACAGCAGAGCAATGTTCTGTGCTGCAGAAAGTCATGGGCAGGATATAAAAATGAGCCCTGGATGGGTAATGATTGATGATAAAATTAATGGTGTCTTCCTGTTGCAGATAGCATCAGGAGATTTAGTGGCTTGTTTCCAGGTTGGGGTGCCCTTTTCTGAGTCCCCCTCTCACTGCTTCCTTCTGCCCATGTTACCACAGTTCTGGTGGGAGCCAGGACAGCAGCAGGAAGTCTCTGATCCCTGTGACATGGGCATCAGTCACCATGCTCCCTACACTGCCTCCTTACACGTCTGCTCTAACATATGCCTTTTACCTTGTATACAGTACCACAGCAGTCTGGCTTCTCTGAATGGCCTCGAGGTTCATCTGAGGGAGACTTTGCCCAAAGACTTTCTGTCCTCAGCCAAGGCAACTTACAGCTTCACTCACTATGACTGCATCCAGAATGTGCTCACAGGTAAGCCTGCACCTGATGGACTGTTTGGGGTTTGTGGTAATCTTTCCTCATATTTCAAGCTTCTCAGACACGCTGCTTGCTAAGTTGGTGCAGCTGACACTTAAGAAATGGTCCCTAGTGATGGTACAGCATTGTTAAGTCATTTCTAGCTGGGAGAAGCAAGATCTGGGAGCTGCTGGTAGCAAGCAGTTGAAAGAATGCTGTCCTGAGCTTATGGCAGACCATGTGCATGCAGGAAGCCTCATGCACAAACTGCTCCTGTTCATTCTCATATTTCCCTTTTCCTGGCAGCCTCCCAGACAGCAGGCTGGCTCTCTGCAGCTTAGAAGAATCACCCTAGGGAATGAGAGAAACCCCAGTGATTGCAGGTGACCACTCCTCAGGTCTTCCTTGCGCCCCTGCAGTCTGGGTACAGGTGGGCAGAGGCAGCGGGGCACCCCAGCACCCCAGTCTTTGTGTGTGGCTGAGCAATATGCACCTACTGGATATTGAGGTCCCACTGGCACTTAGGGTGTCATCCACTCTGCTCTGCTGATACACAGGGAATGTAGGAGAAATCCACAGCATTTTCCTGCTTGGAAAATAGGAGCACTCTTCATAGCATGGGCTTCTAACACCCCCCTGCTTGTGTCCTGCAGCCAACGTGCCCCATCCACCTGGCCCACTGGATCGGCACTTCCTGAGGGCTGCCACGCTGATCCACTCCGACTTCAATCAGCTTCCAACTGTTTCAGAAGTGATTGTAAGGTAAGGTGTGTTCATTACTGCCCCCTCTTCTAGGCACAGAGCCGCTGTGTAGCGTATGAAGAAGGTGAGTGCTGCATCAGTGTTCTCTGGCACTGCTGGCTGAGGTCTGGCAAGTGCAGTCATCACAGTGGAGTCTCTAACCAGTGCTTAGTCGTGTCACCTTATTCCCTCATTCCTTATTAAGCACGCTGCTCTTCAGATGCAGAGTGCTTAATATTCTGCCTGTAGTGTGATCTGGGTGCTAGTAAGCTAAAATGGCACTGATGTGAGTGAGCTGAAGGCACAGCTGAGTTATGCCATGGGTTTGGATTAAGATATAATACTAGAATATTATCAGATCCTGGCACCATAAGGTTCTAAGAGACAGTTTTAAATATAGCTGTTCCTAATAAATTTGTCTCGGCTGCGAGCCAAAGGCGCACAGAATTGGCAACCTAGATTTTGTTTTCTTGTACGGCCTGTTGAGTTGGAAACACACAGTAATGTGCGTGGCAAACTCGATTGTGATGCGCCAAGCAAGATGGTCTTATCACAGTCAGAGCCTCTCCACGCAGCCACAGCTGAGGCTGCTTCTGTGCTGCAGCACTCTGTGCTCCTGCATCCTCAAGGAAGGTGGTTATGTTGTGTGAGCAGAGATTCTGCTTGCTTGGTCATGCTTGCTTGTCCAAAACGTGATGAAATAAAGATGCTTCTGGGAATTTCTGCTTCACTTTTTATGATGCTTGCCAAGGGAATGTGAATCATACTCCAGTGCTGGAGACTCCTTGTTTAGCATTAGATTGACTGGCTCCTTAAATCTGATACTGGGTAAGCTGGCGCATTCTGTGTTGCCCCAAAAAAAGCAACTGTGTGTGTGAATCAGACTGAGTAACAAGATGACTAAAACTGCTTTCTCTTATGGAGAGTTGTCACAGGAGGGTGTCAGCAAACACATCAGTTGCTGCTTTCCGCTGTCAAGGAGGAATGCAGAGTCCTTTGCTTTGCTTCCTCTGAGCTCTCTCACAGGTAAACACTGAGTGCTGGTTTTTCACGCAATGACTTGAGCCTGTTTGGTTACAGTATCTGAGCAGAGTCTTGGTTTCATCACCGGTGTAACTAAATAACCTCATGTGGTTCCTGCTGCAGGGTGATGTGCTTATGGACAGCAGCAGTGAGTTAGGTGTTAATGTCACAGGCTGTGAGGGATATATGACCTTTCCTTTTAGGATCTAGTCCTTTCAGAAGGAGGGTCTGATTCCCTGTGGCCTTCTGGCAATACTTTGCAGGGTTTAGATGGATCTTGAAGTCCTAACTAGGTGGGAGTCCAGTGCCCAGCACTGTGATCACAACACTGTAAGTCCTGACTTCTGCTTTCTCTCCTGTCTCACCAGGAATGCCTCCACAGCAGTGTATGCCTGCCGGAACCCCGTCCAGGAGACCTTCTTCCAGCAGCTGGGTGCTCCTCTCCGCAACTCAGGTGCTCCCAACCCTCAGGACAGTGCTTTCAGCTTGCCAAACAAGGCCAAGCAAAAGCTGCTGAAGCATGGAGTGAACCTACTTTGAACTGATGCACCGAGGCAGCGTATCTCAGCAATAATGAAAGCTGGTTCATCTCCAGGAACCAAATTCTCAAAGCCGTTTGTTCTGTAAGCACCATGCTCTGTGCTACCTGTGGTCTCCAGCCTGTCCTGATGAAGGAGCACTCTTATTGCCCTGCTCCTGCAGCACGTGGTGCATGATGTCATTGATGTTAGCACTTACCAAAGACTGAAGATAGAAAATAGCTGTGTTGGGGTGTTCAGTTTACGTTGACTTGTAGGACTCCTTGTGGTGCTCTGCCACTACAGACAGGCTCACAGAGTGCCTTGACCAAAAGTAGAACCTCTCCTTGCTCTGAGCTACACAGGACAGTGAATTACTGGGCAGTGCTTGCTTTCAAACCCTGCACTCGCCCTGAGTTCTGTTACTGTGTTTGTTCTGGTAAGACTGGGGCTTTTTTTATACCTCTTTATCTACATAAATGATTCCCTGCTACAACATAGTGCCTTATCTTGATTAATAGCTTGCCAGCTGACTAACTGGAATAGAACAAGTGCTGCAAAATTCCTTACTCCCCTCCAGTAGCTGTCAGTAGGTTTTATTCTGTAGCTGCATTTGGCAAATCCTTGTCCCTCTGCCCATGCCTGCTCAGTGTTCCCTCCAAGCTGCCCACCAGAAAGCAGAAAGGTGCTGCAAACCTCTGGATGCACTACAACCCTCTGCTCCTCAGCCAGCCACGTCCTTCCCCTCCTGTTGGAGTACCATGCTTCACCTCCTGGCTTTCTGTTTGCACTCCATTGGCTGAGAAGGTAGGGGCCAGCCCCTTAAGCTGATGACACCAAAGAGGCTTTGTAGCTCCTTGGCACTTGCTGTCTTTCTGCTTGTCATCCCCTGGTCAGTGACTTGCTGGGGTGGGACAGGCAGTGGTGGCTGCTAGCCCTGAGTGATGAATCCTGCCATGACTGTGCTGTGTTCTGAGGCTGCTGCTGCTACGTACATGCACACCACTGTGAAAATAAAAGTCTGAGACTCATCCAAGAGCTCTGTGTCGGCGCCCGGAGTCCTGCTCATTCTGCCTTGTTTGTGGCTCGTGTTGGGGTTGGGTGACCTGAACGGTGCTGTCAGCTCCCTCCTGGCTGAGCTCCTGCAATGCTCTGTGCTCCATCAGGAGGCACGGAGCTGAAGGAAAAGCCTGAGAGGGATGGGGGAGAGTTCTGGCACAGCAGCAAAGCACAGAATAGATGCCTTCAGGAATCTTCTGCTGCAATCTGCTGTGCCGTCTGTTAGCAGTGAACAGCTGGGCTGGTTCCGTTGTGTTCCACTGCTTGAGCTGCATCTGGCCTCCAGGATTGCCTCCAGGGCTTTGCTTAAGAGGAACGTGGTCTGTATGGTAGGATAGTAAAGTGTTCTAGGCTTAAGGGTTGCATGGGAGAGAGGATGATTAGAAGGGTCGTGTTAAAGTGCAATGATGAGGAACAGCTGCTGCCCTGGCCATGTCTTTCTAACGGGGTCAGGGCTGTTGCTGAGCAGTGCCAAGCTGCCCTGGGGCTGGAGGGGTTGTATTGAGTACTGGCTTTTGTGCAGAAGGATGGCAAATGGCAAACGTTGTGTGAAAGGCAGCACGGCATCCTAGAGCTGCTCCTGTGGAGGCTGCTTGCTGCCCTTGATGTGTCACTGCAGGCAGCTGCAAATGTTTTCCAAAATGTGGATTGGGGAATTTTTTTCTCCTTTTGGAAAGCCCTTCTGTCAAGCCTGAAGAGCGCTGGATCTCTGTGGTGGTTTCCTGGTGCTCATTTGGCAGGGGCAGTGCTGATGGCTGGCTGGGGTCAGCTGTCCAGCTTCGCAGGGCAGCAGGGACCTGAGGGGTGGGATCAATGCAGGGAGCTGCCAGGCAGCTGCCCATCGTGCTTCCTAATAGCACGGCAGGGGGCTGGGGCTGTGCCCTCACTCGCTGCCTGTCAGTTCAGCCTCAGCCCATCACCTCCTCCCACTCTGCAGCTCCTGTTGTTTCCAATGCTTTGTTCCTTACAGCGAGCTGAGCTGCTGGGGCCAGCTCAGGAAAAGATCCAGATCCTCTGTGTTTTGCTTTACCCTGGAACAGTTACACAAGCAGGCAGAGTCTGGTCTGTTTTCAGCACAACGGTTTATTGATAATCTTTACTTATCCACTGTAGGAATGTTACCAAACTGTCGGACAGTTACCAAGCCAGCCTGCTTCCTCAGAGCCTCTTTCCAAATAATCAATGCGTGTAGAAATCATGCACTTCAGATATTCTGTAACAAGACAGGTGTAAAAAATATCTCAGATGTATTTGAAATCTCTGCCTTATCTTGCAATCTGAAAAATCTGTAAAGAAATCGTTCACGAGTGCAGTTGTGTCCCTAGGAAGGGCTGGGAGGAGGGTGATGCTGAGCCTGGAAACCTTTGCTGTGCTCTCAGCTGCGTGGGCACTGCATCCCAGCCCTGGCTGTGGGATAGGGATGAGCAGCAGCAGGAGGGCTGGCTGCCACTCCTCTCTGCCCTCTCTGCGGCAAACCAGAGTCCCTCTGAACTGCCACCTGCCCCTGCGGGCATCCCGGCTTCGACTTGGGTTGCAGGTAAAGCAGGGAGGACACTTAGGCATTGGTAACACCTCAGGTGAGGTTACAGAGCAGGGCTGGCCGTGCACCGTCCCTTCAGCAGGGTGGGTGTGCTGCCTGGGCAATGGGAAGCCAAGCCAGTGGGCATCACGGTACCATCCCATGGGGTGCTGTCCCATTGTGGTGCCACTGCAGCCCTCTGTCTGTCCATCCATCTGTCAGCATGGGGGCTGGGCAGGGGCAGGCTGAGCGCAGCACTTCGCCCCGCTTTGCTGTCTTGGGCATGTGAGCGTTGTCCTTTTGGTGACCACAGGAAACTTTACATTATTACATTCAAACAAACACCCTTGTAACTCTACTTCTGAACACTGCAAAACACGAGCAACATAACACGGATGGGAGTGGGACTGCATCTAACCACGGAGAGAAGGCAATGCACCGCCATGGTGGAAAATAATCCCTGAAGCCTTGATGGAAGGAGAGAGATGCCGCAGATACACGTCGAAGGTTCCATTTACAAGACCCACAGGAGGAGACCCCGGCACTGTGAGGAAGCCTCTGCCCTGGGCAGCGTCCACAGGCGGTGCTGGAGCTGTGGTGCCCTCACCCTGACAGCGCAGCAGTGATCTCAGCGTCCTGGGGCAAAGATGAAATCCAGTGCCTGGCGCTCGGCAGCTGCCACGTTGGGATGCCACAGGTCCACCATGAAGACCACACGGGGACCCTCCTCTGGTGGACCTGGGTGGGATGAGGTAGAAGGTGAGGCACTGCTCCGTGCCCTGCTGGCAGCACTGAGGTGCTTGGTGAGGTTGTTGCTGCGTGCAGCCCAGCACAGTGCACCTCCACTGAGCACCGCCTGTACATTGCTGCCTTATGCCTCCTGCTCACAGGGCAGGGTGCTCCCTGCAGGGCTCCTGTGCTGCTCTTTTGCAGTCACAGCAGGGCAGCAGGTGTGGTGCTGAGTGCCATCCTTGCAGCTGTGGCTCAGAGCTGCTGCTGTGCTATTCTGCCCTTGCCCATCCCCGTGGCTCTGAAATAAGCTGTCTTTCCTAATTTCATAGCAGGGAATATGTGGGAGCAACAGCTTTTGTTCTCCCACCTGCTTCTTTGCATGAAGCAGCTCTGCTTCGTTCTTCCATGCCATCGGCAACTAATACTGGCTAAGGCAGGAGAGGCAAAGCAGAACAGCCTCCAGCAGGCACCAAGGCAGCAAAGCCAACCCTCCACCCTCTTGCAGCACTATGCTGCCACAGGATGCGCAAGTTGTCTGCTGGAGGGGCAGCCCCTGCAGGTCTGGGGCTGGAGTCCCAGGAAACAGGGAGGAAGCTGGGGTAGAACTGGGGGAGGAGGGGACTGCAGCCCTCAGTCCCGTGCTTACCTTCATGAAAGGCGGTGTGCAGGAAGGAGTCATCAAAGAGCAGGCAGCGACCCTCAGCCCAGCACTGCGGCTCACCCCCCACCACCAGCTCGCAGTTACTGGGGGTCTTCAGACCTTTGGGCACAAACAGAGGACAGAGGTGGGTCAGTTCCTGCAGGGAGCAGTCCCAAAACATGAGCAGTGAGTTCCATGCTGCTTACTGTGGGCAAAGAAGAGACTGAGGGGTGTCAAGGGGCTGCTTCCCCGCAGGGAGCAGGAGCAGCAGATGCTGAGCTCAGCACAGGGCAGAGGCCCCTGGGGGCTGTTAACACCATCTTGTGCAGCAGCAATGTCACCCATGGCAGCGTTTGAGCAGCTGGAGCTGGAGCTGGAGCAGTCACCTGCCCTGAGGATGCAGCTGAGGAGCAGAAAGGAGCAGCGCTCCCATGACCTGCAAATGGTAAAAATGCTGCAAATGAGCAGAGTGGAGTTCTGTGCCAAATCCAAGCAAGCATAGCAAGGACTGCAGCTGCCCAGGAGAGCCAGAAGCACAAAAGCTGCTGGGTGTTTCTAATGTATGTTTCAAAGACTACAAAAACCAAATGCATTTCCCTGTGCAGTAGCTCCAGCTGGATGGGTCTGGATGCAGGCAGGCAGCCCTGGGGAAGCAGGACTGGTGATGATATATGTGGCCCCTGGATTCTGGGGAAACACCTGGAAAGATTCATCTAAGCAGAGTGCTGTCCTGCTTTGTAGAGCAGCTGACCTGGAAGGGACTTGGCTCAAATGCAACCACTCTGTGGGCACAGCAGGAGCTGGAACAGGTGGGGATGTCTGTGGGAGTACTGCAGCCTGGCTGCAGGGTAGCAGCCAGAAGCAGGTGGAGTGAGATGTAGGGGAGAGCAGGACAAAGGAGGGACCCACATTGCCTGCACCTACAGCTAGGACCTGGCTGAGCTGTGCCTGCTCTGTGCTCTGCCCCTCCACAGAGCGCATCTGCCCTGGCTGCTCTGAAGCACCCTCCGATCAGCTCTGAGACCATCTCCTGCTTCTAAGCAAAGGCAGCCACCACCGGCGCTCACCCAAAGGGAGCTGGCAGAGCAGCCACGCTCACTGTTTGCCAGCAGCGCCCGTGCGGTGCCTCCCCCGCCTCCATCTGTGCTGCACGGGCTCTCCCCAGCACCCGTGGGGCTGGGAGCACCGAGGGGACACCCAGAGCCACTGGCACATGGCCCTGTCCCTGCCCCGGGTCTGGCATCAGGGTGGCACCCAGCCCCGCTCTGGGCGCACAGCAACATCCAATGGGGTGAGAATCGACCCCAGCGTGGACGGGAGCAGCTTGGATACACTCCATGCTGCTCCTGGAGCAGGGACAGCCCACAGAAAGCCCACCCGCCAGGCACTCACCCAGGTGGCAGCGGATGCGGATGTTGGTGGGGCCGTAGTGCTCGGCGATGACGGTGCCCGGGCTCAGCACAGAGATGCAAGCGTTCCCAAAGACATTGTTGCCAATGCAGGTGCGAAGGCTGCCGAGCAAGCGGTACGTCCGTGGGCATCTCCTGCAGTTCCTGGGCACGCACATGCCCTGGTTCACCAGGTAGAAGGTGAACCACTCCCCGCTGGGCGTGCTGTTCATTTTCCATCCTTGCGGGAGGCTGCAGTTTGAGAACGCTTTGTAGAGGCTCTCAAACTCACACAGGATGGTCTGGAAGTTGCGCTCCAGCACCTCTACGTCGTGCTTCTGAGCGTCCCGCGAGAAGTAGGGGGTGGTGGGCAGGTCGGGCAGGAAGAACACCTCCGGCTTCTGGATGGAGGGCCGGCTGTTGAGGTAGCGGCCCTGCTCACGGATGCCCTTGTGGATCCTGCCCATGCCGGACCACGAGTAGCGCTTGGCGTACTCCTGCAGGTTGTGGTAGAGCTTCTGGTTGAGGCCATCGTGGGGCGAGCAGCGCGCGCACTCGGGCGCGTGGCAATAGACGAAGCCGTTCTGCACGCCGTTGGCCTCGGCGCCCTGCATCAACGCGTTGACGGGGGGGTAGGCGCGGGGCTGCTCGCGGCCCACGTGGTAGCAGTACCAGACAAAGAGCAGCAGCAGGCAGCCCACGGCCAGCAGCGCGCCGCCGTCGCAGTCCCGGAACGACTGGATGCCGGCGGCGATGAAATCCCGCAGCCCATCCAGGGAGCAGCTCCAGTCCGGCAGCCACACCAGAGGCATGGTGGGGTGGTGGAGGGTGCAAGGGGGGCCCGGAGCTCAGTCCTGGTGCTCTGAAGGGGCACCCACTCCATGCAGCACTGCCATGGGGGTGCGGGGCCGCGGCCGGGCCCAGCTCGGCATGTTCCCGGGAGTCGGGGGTCAGCAGCACCGTGCCCACCTCATCCTGAAATGCAGTGCTGGGGGGCTTTGAAGAGACAAACCCAGAGGTGTTATGGGGGTGCTGGCAGAGGACAGTGGCCCTGCAGCCTGGAGTGGTTCCACAAGAAGTCCACACTCACTCCCAGCAGCATCGCCCATAGGGATTTCAATGCCAGCCACAAGGGAAGCAGCAGAGCCATCCCCCCACCTCGCTCCCACTGCCCCACCTCCTCCTTTGCTCTTCCTCCAAATTTCTCCTCTCTGTCAGTCCCTTATCGTGCCTGAAATCCAGCTGATAAGACAGCCACGGGCCAAGCTCTTAACAGCCCTATCTCACTACTCATCAATTTATCATCTTGATCTAAATGCTCTGAAACAACTCTCCTTCTAAAGGACTCTGTCCCTGCAGACAGTGGGGTTGCAATCAGCACTGAAGCCAGCACCCTCCACAGGCTCCCTATGACAGCCCCATGGGCTCGCACCCATTGCAGCGTAACATCCCATCCCTGCAGGCTTCACTAAGGTGCAGAACAAAGCAGAGATGCCAGCAAGGCTCCAGGCTGGTGGAGCTTTTAGGGCAGGAGTGGGATGAGGTGACACTCCTGCTCCCTGCAGTTATGCATGGGATGCCTGTGCCCAGTCCAAATTCCATCCCCACCACTTCTCTGTCTCTTTGTAGGAGCACCGACCTGAAGGTGCAGGGTGGGTTTATCAGGCAAGAAAGATCTCCAGCCTTTCCCTTCTTTCTCTGCTGAGGTCCTGCAGCTCCTTAATCTATGCACATTTCCCCACAGATGGCAAGGGGGACGCGGTTCAGCTGGTGGAGCAGTGGCAGGGGCCTTCCTGCAGCTGCAGCCCAAAGGCAGGGGCAGCTCTGCTCAGATGGGAGAGACATGCACACCTCCCCACACCCTCTGCCTGGGTCCTGCAGTCCACGTGGCACGTTGGAGCTGCCTGGAAATTTCAAGGCAGCTTCCCTCCATCCCCGGTGGCTGGAGTCCCTCCAGGTTCTCCAGCACACCCCTCCTTCCCAAGCAACACCATGGGCCAATGCCAGGGGTGTTCCCCAGCGTGGCACGACCCCATAGTGCCACTGGCATTCAAAGCAGCAATCCAGCTCCGGAACAAAGCAGGGAGACTGGCATTAGGGACCTTCTGAGGCTGCCTAGAGGGGTCTGACAGCCTTGGGAGCCTCCACCATAGGCACAGCCTCTCTATCGGCCCAGGGCTGCAGGCAGAACTTCACATGGGGCAGCCATCAAGACAATGAGAGACCAAGAGCACCTAGCACCCATCCCGACTCCCCAGGAAAAGGCTGGGAAATGGGGTTGGATTCAGCCTGGCAGCTCACTCCTGTGCTGACACAGGCAGCCCCACGGCTGTGCTGGCGTGTGGCAGAGCAGTGCCCCAACCCAAGGGGCACCCAGGATGCAGGAGATGCCCTGCTCCACTGCACGCAGCTTTAGCACGCAGCTCCACTGCACGCAGCTGAGATCCCCGCATCGTCAGCTGATAACAAACGGCAGTCGGTCCCGAAAAGCGCCCATCAATTCCCCGGTGCCCCGAAGTTGTGCAGGACGTGGAGGCGAGCTCCGTGCCAGGCAGCAGCGGCGTTACGTAATGAAGCAGAGAGGCTCCGATGCAGCACCAAGTTACATCCTGACAGCTTCGCAGGGCACCGGCAGCTCCGGAAAGAGGCGGCTGTGGGCCGGGATCCCCACACCGCGTGCCCCAGCAGCCGGGCTGAGCGGCGGGGACGGCCTCTGCTCGGAGGCATCGCGCTCTGCTCTGCGGGCACGCGAGTGCCGGGGCGAGGCCGGCCGTGGGCTGCTACTACGGAGCTGGAGCGAGGCCAGGCAGCTCGGTGCCACCCCAACGGTGCCGCTCGCTGCGACGGTGTCACCCCAATTGGCATCGCCCGCTGCGGCGCGCCCGTGTCACATCAGCGGCACCCGTCCCCGCGGTGTCACCCGCCGTGGAGCCCCGGGCACGGCTGCATCCCCCGCGCCGAACGGCCCCGCATCCCGACCCCGCAGCGCCCGGCCCCGCCCGCCCCGCGCCGGATGCGGCGGCACCGACCTGCTGCTGCTGCCGTGCGAGGACGTGCGGGGCCGCCGCTCCGCTTCGTTCGCCGCCTCCTCGGACCACAACTCCCAGCAGCCCGGGCAGGAGGGGCCCGCGCCGCCCCCGCCGGCACCGCGCCGGGCGGCACAGCCTGCGGGCCCCGGGCCACGCACCGCCCGCCCGGCCCCGCCCTCCGCTGCGGCCGCCCCCGCCCCTCGCCGCGCCCCCGCTCTCCCGCACCGCAACCCCCGCACCGCGCCACCGGGAGCGGCGGGGCTGCGGCAGGCGGGGATGGGGGCCGTTCCGAGGGGACGGGGCTGCGGCAGTCAGGATGCGGGGGGCGGGATGGGGATCCTGGCCCCAGGGATCGTGCCATGCACAGCAGAAGGGCAGGCGCTCGGAGATGCGACGGTGTGAAGCTCCAGGGATGTGGGCATCTCGGGAGGAGGGAATGCCGCCTGCAGGGATACAGGACGCTGGGGAGGCGGCAGGCGGGCTGCAGGAGCCGCTGCTCCCCGAGGGTGTGGGTGACCGGGATGCGGGCAGCCTGGGGTGCAGGGAGTGCTGGGTTCTGGGCGCCACTGGGGACGCGGGGCCCGCAGCCAGCTCTGCTCCCTCGGTCCGTAAGTGACAACGGGACCGCTGTCGGTGCTGCCCAGCAGAGCACGCCTTTCAGCCGCTCCATCCAGCGCAGCTCCTCTCCAAAAGTTCCTTTTCTAAACGGAACTTGAACGCTTCCACACTTCAGCCCCATGGAAGAGACTAGCTCAGTGGGTCGGCTGTAGAAGAGGACATCGGAGGTGTCTCTTACTGACTCTTACATGTTGGGGGAGAAACAATTTGTCTTCAGACTTTCTTCTTCCTGCTTGCTTGCCCTTTTCCTCCCTAGCTCCTCTTCGTGCTGCAACCAGTTTGCGAGGGAGATTTCCCCCAGCTGAGAGGGGGGAGAGGAGAGGACGTCCTGCTGCCCCAACCCTCTCAGCTCCTGCTGAGAACATACCCAGTGCTCTGGGAAGGGCCCGGACCACGGGATGGCCACGTGGAACCCTGCCTGCTCTACGAGCATCCTTTGTGCAGAGGGATGCTGGGGAGGGCACAGCTGCTGCACCCAGACGGAGCTCGAGCCGTGGCACACAGCGGAAGGCCAGAGATTGGCTCCTGCTTTACGTCATCGGGGAGAAGCAGCAGCATCGAGGTTCTTTTTATTTTTTTTTTTCTTTTTATTTTTTTTTTCCCTCTTCATTTTCATTCTCTTGCCATCTCCGTCCAAAAATAACCCAAGCTTCCACCCCGGGGAGCGCTCCGCATCAGAGCTTTGGCTCCTTCACCCTCCCGTGCATTAGCCTGACAGCTACTAAATGAAGCTATTAGCTCGTGGCACATCATCACCTTTTTTAAAAGCACGTTTTTCAGAGCATGTGGTGATGTCATTTGACTGCGTGTGGAGCTGCACAGATGCATGGGAGGGCTCATATCCCTCAGCACAGAGCATTGCCCGTGGGGCTGTGTGTCTCCATCCCCCTCCCCTGCAAGAGAACCCAGGCAGCTGCTCCTCCTGCCCTTCTGCACATCGCCCGGCAGGATCCCATGGGGAGCATTCCTAGAAGACTCAGCAGGCTCCCAGAGGGGGTCTCAGCAAGGTCTCAGAGGTCCTTGAAGACCAAGGAAGTTCCCTGCAGGGTTCCAGGAGTCTCAAGGAAGGGTTCCAGAGGAGTCCCAGCTTTCTCAGATGTGCCAGTGGGATCCCAGAAGGGGCCTCAGCAAGGTCCCAGGGGTCCTGGTAGTCCAAGGAAGATCCTGGCAGGGTTCCTGGGGTCCCAGAAGGGGTCCAAGGGAGGTCCCAGCATTACCAGAGGTCCCACGGGGATCCCAGGAAGGGTCTCAGCAAGGTCTGAAGGGTCCTGGTAGTCCAAGGAAGGTTCCTGCAGGGTAGCAGAAGTCTCAAGGAAGGGTCCCGAGGGGGTCTTAACTTTCGCATTGGGATCTGAGGAAGGGTCTCGGCAAGGTCCCACGATTCCCAAGAGGTTCAAAGAGAGTTTCAGAAGGGTTCCAAGGCAGAGGTTTCAGGGGATCCCAGGGGTGCTGCCAGCCAACGAAGCTGTGACAGAACGGCCTCACGTGGGCTTATGGCTCAGAGCTTGTCCCTGCAGGGAGCCATCACTGCTCGGTCCCTTGGACACAGGCTGTTGTGGCAATGCGGGGCTGCACCAGGGCAGGATCTGGCCCCTGGGGCATCATCACCAGGCAACAAGGTGAGCGCTGTGCCCAGCCCCAGCCCACTCCCATTGCTCCAGCACAACGAGGCCATGCCACTGCCTTTCAGCAGCTCCGAGAGCTGCAGAGTGACTCCAGGCATTTAAAAACACAGCACAAGTTGTATTAAGGTTACACCGAACACTACAGCTTCCCACGGAAGTACTTGATCATGTTCAAAAATATTTAATCCCAGCAATTTTCACATTATTCTTATAAAAACAGACATGTATGAAGGGAAATGAAATGCTTAGTACATTTTTTGGCACTTTTTTTTTTTTTTTGTCTTTTTTTTTGTCTTTTTTTTTTTTTCCTTTAACCTTTACAAATTACAAACACACATTCGTTGTTTTTAAAGGAAAAGAAAACCAAAACCAAAACAAACCAGAAACAAAAACCAAAAATGATCTAAGTCTCGGCTGTACACTGCAGAGATGCACTAACCATCCCGAAACTAAAACAGACTCCCCAACACTGTCGTGGTTACGTTGCCATTTTACAAGGACAAAAGAAGACAGCAGCTGCTCGGGACGTGGTGGGGCATCGCTGCCCACCCACAGCCCGCCGCCCAGCTCTGGGGAATGCACCCAAAGTGAAGGAGCACGGGGGATGCTGAGGCCCAAAATGAAGCTGCTGCAGGGTCTGCCTCTGTCAGAGCAGCGCTGAGGGCTGATTCTGCCCCTCTGCTTCCCATTTCCACACTGGAGCCTGGCCCTGCTGCAGAACAAATCTCCACCTTCACCTCCTCTCCTTGTCATCGCCTGGGTAGGCTTTGCCCGTGAGCAAAGTGCAAACCTTGAGGGCTCCAGTGGCTTGGGGACACGTGGCCCAGCACCCCAAGGCAGGTGGCAGCCCCCACAGGGCCCAGACCATGCTTACCCTGAGATACTACCGCGGGGCGAAGGGGCACAGCAGCCTGCAGCAGTGCTTGGGCTGCCCTGGTGCTGATGATGGCGCTGAAGAGGAGCAGAGAGCAGCAGTCCCCTCTCCCCAGCCGCGCCACCGTGCTGTGGGGAGAGCCGTGGCTGCAGCAAACCCTTACCTACGTCAGCTCTGAGCAATCAATTGCAGGCTCTTTCAATGGAGGCGCTTTTAATTTGTAACAACAGAAGAACTGCAAAACCCATCTGTGGGTGCGTGGCCGGGGGACGGGGAGATGGAGCTCTGTCCCCGTGTGCCACTGCTGTCCACCCCCCCTCCCCCCCCCCAGGGTCCAGGCGCAGACCCCGCGGCTCTGCAGCACACCTAGCGCAGTTTAAATAGAATAAATACAGTGAAGAAAACAGTAAAATCTTCAATAAGGAGGCAAAAGGAAAGACAACAGCAGGTCCAGGGGTCCAACCAAACTCCACATAGTCTCTGGATTAGTTACTGAGGAAGTTCTATGAGAGCACATTAAGTTTGCAGCTGGAGACTCTCTTGCCTTTATATCGAAACTTCGTATTCTCTTGTTTCCTGGAAAGAAGGAAAAGCCATTTTAGGGCAGCAGCTGCGATTTGGGATGATCACCCCGTTGGATTTGTGGAGCCAGGAGTTGGACTGGGTGATCCTTATGGATCCCTTCCAACTTGGGATATTCTATGATTCTACTGGTGAGAGACACCCTGGGGGCCACCTGGGGAGGGAAGGCACAGCAGCACTCACCCCTGTCTCATAAATCGGGTTGTCAAACTCCGTTTCTACCGTGATCTGGCTGTAGGGGTGGGAGTACATGAGGGGCAGGCGGAGGCTGGAGTAGTACCGGCACCTGGGGACAAGGCAAGAGTCACTCAGCCCTGCAGCAATGCGAGACCCTCCGTGTGCCCCCCGTCAGCCTGGGGCTGGGGGCAGCAGGGGGCGCCCTGTGCCGGGCTTTGGAGCCCAGCAGGACGTGGTGATGCTCCCTGGAACTCTGCCACCCCACCTACCTGGTGATGTAGATGTAGGCTCCTCCCAGCAGCAAGGAGATGATCAGCACCGGGATGAAGATGGCCAAGGCCATATTTCCCCCCTCCAACGATGTCTCTGCAGCAGCTTCTGCTACTAAAAGGACATGACCTCTTATGCTGGCTTTTTCTCAGCACATTCTGCTGCCCCTCTGCCTCCGCTCCTCCAGTCCCTCACATGGGACGGGGGGTACTGGGGGCAGTGGGCTGGTTCTATTGGCTCCTGCAGCATGCACCTGCCTCAGTCCCAGTGTCTCTGCAGTGCTGTGGGCTTTGGGCTGGGGAGCACCTGGGGGTGCTGGGCTAGAGCGCAGGGGTGGTGGTGAGGTGGGGCTTGGCCCCAGGGAGTTGTGCAAGGGGCTGATCCAGCAAATGTGTCACTCACCTTCCAGAGCGTGTTCAAAGCTGTCCTGATTGACTGGAAGAGAAATGGAGAGTTATTGGGAGGTGGCTGGGTGCTCACTGGGTGCTACAGCTTCGCATGCAGGGGGATTCACATAGCCATGCTGAGGCTACCATAGGAATCTGTGCTAG